AGATTCGTTTTTGGAGGGGACTCATTTTGACCATATCTAGGGTTCAAATTGAATCTTTTTTTGGGGGGGGGTTGATTATTGAGATGAAGAGAGTGTGTGTGCAAAATTTGAGGTCATACAAATACAACAAACATGGTTTTCTAGAAGTGTCGTTGCATTATACTATGATACAACCGTTGCATTGGATCATTGCTCATATATATACATATATATATATACGAATCTTTTAATGCTCTAGATCTTCGAATCGATGATCGTTGAGAGTCAAAAGTCTTCTCTCACAATCAAATTGACCCACAAAAAGTATCGGTTGATTACTTTTTGATTTCGTAAGAAATCAAAAAACTTCTAGAAAAATTTCAATCTTCAAAATATCTTGTTTTGGGGGAGTTTTTCTCTCTCATATGCAAGCAAAGTAGTTTTTGGGGGGTTACAATGCCCCCCTACACCAGTTCCCCCCACTTTGAGGTGGGAAAATGACATGTTTTGCCCTAGGCAGAGGGTATATTTCTGCCATCTCATCGAAGGGCACTGGGCGCCGCTTAAGAGGGCACTCAGGCACAAAATGCCTAGGCATCACCCCTAGGCCCTTATGCAGGCGGGAAAGGCCTTTGGCTGCCTAGGCGGCCAGGCACTGAATTTTTTAACACTGATTAAAAAAACAATTAGCATTCTTTCGACAAAAAGCTTTCATGGTTTCATAGCTACAGTGTAAAATCTACAAGCCACGGAGCAAAAGCAAGACAGCCAAAGATCCTCTCTTCTATAAATCAAATTGTCACAAATCCCAATCTAGGTTAGCCATTCTCTCTTTAAAAGGCACTACTCTACGTCCCCCGCCACAATTTCTCCCCAAAGAAACCAAATCAGCAACAAAAAAAGAACCTCTCCTCCCTAAAAATTTTAGGACCAACAGTTGATCACTTTCATTTTATATCTCCCAATGATCTCTCCCATCTTTCTACGCCCATCTCCAGTTTCCCTCTCCATTTTCTTCTTATTTACCTGTTTTGAGCATCAGTCAAAACAAGATCCTTATGTCCAATAATCGAGAGAAATGAAAGGGCCAAAATGCGGTTTGTGACATTATTGCAAAACCTTAATGCACTTTTGAGTTTTGAACTCTACATTTACTGAAAGGGCCAAGGATAATCTGGCTAAAGCAACACCATGCATGATCGCAAGGTAACACTGCACCTTGAAAAAAAGAGTCTACCAATGCGCAATGCTAAATACCATACATAGCAGCTGAAAGTGCGAAGGAGCATAGAGGGAATGATCTCATTAGGAACCAATAAGGGTCCCAACTCTCAAACAATTAAAAAGGGGATGAATTTGATTGCGAAGAAGTATAAATAGCCAAAATGGCTTGGCCCACTGCGTAAAAGCGATATTATCCAGTGGAAAAGAAAGGAAAGAGGTGGTGGTAGTGATAGTGGAAAGAGAGGTGGGACTGAGTTTTTTTTTTTTTTCTTCTCTTTTTTTATAGATTAACTGTTGCATTCGTATATAGTAAAATAACAACTTTGGAGTTGTCAAAATGTACAAAACTGTTAGAAAGATCACGGTATAAGTGAGATAGTTTATGCAAAATTGTTCCAAAGGGGGGGCCATTCTATGGATGAACAGATCGGTTTGGTTGACCCCTCCTTTTGGTGAAGGCGTAGGCTTGGAAGTAAGAGTCTCCCCACTCATGCTTGAAGGTGACATGAATGGAGTCGTTTATCTCAAAAATGTAGCCCAATCTCCAGAAGGAGGGGGTAGTCTTATTGACCCAGTTTATGACAAATTTGGAGCTTCCTTCAACAAAGAATGTTTGAATCCGACTTTTATTGAACACCTCAAGCCCAGTTAACAAGGAAAGGGCTTCGGCATAAGTTGAACCACAACTCCAGCCAAGCCTGAGTAAGTAGAGATTATTTCACTCAAGTGGTTCCTAAAAATCCCACCTTTACCTCTTGAACCTGGGATGCCGAAGGAACCACCATCTAAATTTAGATCGATCATGTGCGAGTCAGGTTAGAGCCATAGCGATGATCCCATGTGGTGTGAATGGCTGGCCAAAGAATTTGCTCACACCAGTTTGCGAGGAGAGCTGAGAGCTAGAGGCATTATTCTCTCCTTGAATGAACCCAAAAAATGATAGTGAATGTCAAATTTACCTTATTCGTGATGTGACATAGAGTCTAGGGTGTTCTTTGAGCAAAACCAAAATGACAATACAACTCAAAATTTTCAATAAGCGGTCTCGCTTAAACAAGCAAATAAACAATTACAGCCACTCAAATCAGATGTAAGAACATCTTAAGACATGAATACCACTTACAAATGAGTCTATAACAGTCCCCTTTGCCCACAAATCAAAACTCTCACAGAGCATACATTTTTACAAGAAATGAGCTTATGCTCTTACATAACCAAATGACATAATATAAACACTTGAAACAAAAATTATATACCTTTTCTAGACTTGTAACAATGATTTGAGTGCCAATATTAAGTGGGGAAGCCAATGAATTTGAACCCTTATGCCCGGGTCAATACCGGACCTTTTAAGGACTTAATATGGTCCTACATGTGAGTGCAAGTGTGGTTTTGTAATCACAAGATGATCAATTCATATGAGAAGCTTGAAACACTTTTAAACAACTAATAAAGCCCAATGAGAGAGACTCAAATGATGGAGATCAGTTTGCAAAAGGAATGAGAGAGATCAGACTCAAAACGAGCCAAATATGAACAAACTACTACATATGGTCCACCGGTCCACCAATGTTTTTCTCAATGTAAAAAGAGGAACTCTAACTCAACAAATGAACTTTTAAAACGGATATTAATTCTCTGAACTTGAAGATTAATGAAGGATATACTCAAGAAAATTTGGATGAAAAGGATTTGAGAAACTAGACATGATTCATAAAGCAATCAAGATATTGAACTCACGATCAAGGTTAAGGAGCACAACTTATAACTCTAGCTTAAAGATCATGTAAAACCAATGATAAAATGAAGAAACTTCTGTGAACATGAATTTACAACAATTTAGATCATGAAGAAGCGAAGCAATGAAGGAGAAACTCAAAAATAGATGATGCCTTGATGGTGACATATAATGGATATGATATTGTGGAAGGAAGGAGCACCATTAAAGATCATCTTGTGATC